GAAACTCCTTAATAATATAAGCGAAAGAATTAACCAACAGCAGGGAGAATAGAGTGTATGAGAACTCATCAAAGTTGTCTACAAAACTGATGGATTGGAACCCTAAGGGGTAGGGCATGAAAGGGATGGTCTAAGGAGCAATGATGAATGAAACAGTGTCTCTTACCATACCGACATATTAGGATCAGAGTTCTTAAAAAAACAGTATTTTAATGTTATCTGTTATCTGAACTGTATTATAAAGTTCAGAGCTTTTTTGTGGTGGTGTGCTATATTAATAAATAAAATAACAGTAATCACGTCTTAGATAAGTGGCAGTAGCAAAAAGGCAACACAATGAAATCTTGGCTTTCTGAATGTCAATTGGAATTTTGCCACTTATTTAAATGGGACAAGGGACTCATACCTGTTTTCTGAAGGGATTCTGAAAACAGAATCCCTGTTAGGTTTCATAAATGAACATCCTGTGGCTGTAAGAAGTTGATTTCTGTTTGATAAAATATTTATCAAATAAGCATCATAAAAGAGTAGAACTTCAGAAATAGTTCCTGTAGACAGAAAGAAAAGATTTTGGAAACCAAAAACCAGGCCAGAATTATTAATCAATAATAATGAAGTCCTCAAGAGAATGGAAAACAAGACTTTTCTTCTAAAGTCCCATTTCTTCTGCCTTCTATAAACTCAAGTTTGAAAAAGGAATGCTTTTACAGCATACTTAAAGTGAATTGTGGTTTACATTTATGGGGCATGAAAATTAATAGACTTTTTATGAGCTGCTTTGCATGCTTAGTCATGGGGATTTTTATATCATTTTATTGAGGAAATAGACACAATTAAGTGGCACTGTGTTAAAATTTAAACACATATTGTCACTAATTGAGGGCAATTATAACATAGCACCTTCTCAGAGCCTGGATCTGGACTTGTGATATAAGTAAAATACTTATTGAATTTAGTGGAAGTTTTATGCATGTAGGTCCCACTCTTATTGCCTTCACTTGTGCTGAATCTCAGTAGCGATGCATAGGGGGTGCACCCCCTGACAGGCAGCACTCCCTGCTTAGGCAATGGGCACAGTGGGCAGGTGGGGGCACCGGTGCCCCCACCCATGAGCACCGGCGAGGGAGTGGGGGCACCAGGTGAAGCGCCTCTGGCACTTCCAGGAGCACCGATCCCAAGACTGGCCATGGGGGAACTCCCCCCCAGTTGCTGGCTGGCCACTTGGGGGGGAGGCACATGCCCCCCTGACTCAGGTGGTACTAGTCACCCATGTTGGGTACAACCTGTATTCTCTGGGTAATCTCAAGAGAACACCAGTTTATCCCAATACCCAAGGTCCAGGTGCTTTGAGAGAGTTGTTAAAGGTTCTTATTCTCCCTCATGATCATAACCAGCATGCAGTCTGTAGAGTAATAACACTCCTCATTTTTTCAAAGTTCTTTCATTATTCAGGTCATGGTACTAGCCAACATTGGGCATATCATATCCACAATTCAGCTGGACTAAGAAAATGTACAGGTTAATCAGCCTGCATCTGCTTCTTTCTCAGACCTGAAGAAGGGCACTTGATGCCCAAAAGCTTGTCTAACAGCTCTGCCAGCTATACAGTTGGTCCACTAAAAGGTATGAGGAAAAAAAATCCTTGCCTCTTAATCACCT